ACAGACAGACAAACAGACATTCAGCTTTATATATTAGATTTATGGCCTGTATTATTATGTTTCACAACAATAAGAAAGACTAACGCAAAGATTCATGACCAAAACGGTGGAGTGTCACATGGTGATCACTTGCAGAGATTACAGAGCAGGAGTACTTGGGAATTAAAATGTAGGAAGTTATGTACAGTTATGAAACCCGTAGAAATTTGAGGGATATCGTGATCGAAGCAACTATACAAGAGATCCTAATTTGCGTCACTGCCTAAAGCAGAACAAAAATGAAATGAACAAAACACCAGTATTTTGCATATATGACAACTACGAATCATAAACACAAATCACAAAGGAAAATGGACAAAAACTTTTCTATGTGAATGCAAGAAGTATGAGGTATCTAACTGATGGCAATTTCTTTTAATTGACAACAATGAAATGGTCATTTTTCTTTTTTGAAAAATTCATCCAACTTCTTCTTAACAGGTGGCTCCTTCACGTTGCTTTTAGGAGCACGTTTCTTAGCACCAGGTTTCTTGTCGCGTTCGCCAGCAGCGGCTTTCAAGCGCTTTGCTTGCTCCAGTTTGTGGAAATGCGCCAGCTCCTAAAGTTGGACTTTGTGGGATACTGATATGAGAGCACCAAAAATAAGAAATTTTATGCAACTTACTACTTCAATACCAAAAGCATACAAAGAAAATCAAAAGTTAGATGTTTAAGGTGTACCAGTATATGGTAAGCCAACCAATGAAACCAACCGCTTTGATATGCGCCGGTAGCTCCTCATAAACTGATGATGATATGGCTCCAATATCACTAAGTTCCACCGCCGGCACTGCAGGTGCGTGATTTGAATCTTCTGTTGATTCGAACTTTGCCGGATCATAGACCTGAACCACTTGAACATTTTTGATGGCAGAATTTTTGAAATCAATTTATGTACCTGCCACCCATCGTCATCCACTTTGACCTCAGGCTCATCCTCTTTCTTGTTTTTCTTTTTGTGCGGCGAATTTTTTGGGGAGTTGCTAGCTGAGCCAGTGGCCGTAGATGTACTGGGCGCTTCCTGAAAGAAAGAGCACAACAAAGTTAATCGAGAGG